TACTGCGCTACTGCGAGAACAAGTTCAACGACAAGCACATCACCACCCTGCAGGTGCAGACCCCGGGGACGCCGGGCTGGGGACCCGCGCCCTCTCCTCTCCCCGGCCTCTGGCCTGTCACCCCGCCTTCTTCTCCCCATTGCCTTTCCCAATTGCCTCTGGGACGCGCGGGGTCCCGGCAGCCTGTAGATGTCAAGACCGACTACCGGGGGAAGGACAAGGGAGGGGAAGGACCCGGAAAAGTCCCCAGTACCCAGTGAGGCTGTGCAGGTTGGGGAGTCCCCGGCTGTGGGCTCGTTTTCCCCCTTCGAGGCGCTTCCGCCGGGGCACCAGGTGTTTTCACTCTCTACTCTTTTGAGTGTCAGCCCCTTTTCTTCCCTTGAAGTAGGAACTTAGCTTCGGATTCGAATTGGCGAACGAGGTGGTTTGTAACTTCAGAGCGTCCTGATGACTAAGTGTTTATGCAAGTTCCATTTTGTCCTGTTTTTCAAGTAAATGGAGTGATTTAAAAAAAACAAAAACCATCTCTGGAAGGGTTTTTTTGTTTGTTTTTCCTTAAAACGACCGCTTGCTGGTGCTGGTTACGCAGTTTCATTGCAGCCTTCTTGAGGCTGACCTGTGGGTCGCTTATTCTGTGAGGTTCATCTACCCACGTTGAAGCATCATGTTGTGTATTGGCCAGCGATTAGTTTTCAAACTAAAACCCGAAGCACTGCTGCTACACATTTTCTTGACTGTCATAAAAGATTGGCTTTCCTCTACAGTTAAACTGGAAGAGTGTTACAGTGTAATTGAGAGTGAAGCCTGGTGGTAGAAAGAACTGTAGTCTCCCTGTTCTCTTAAACAAACAAACAAAAACCCCAAAACAGGTTGCACGTGTTAGGAGAAATTTATCTATTAATCTGGTTTGATCCAGGTTAATTGTCCAGAAGACTTGAGTTCAGTCCTCTGGATTCACATGCTACCTCCATTTATTTCTATAGCCATACTGGGTAAATTGCTTAACCTGTGTATCCCTAGGCTTCTCCTGCTATGACAGCCATAATGATTATACAGGAGCACACCGGGTTGTCAAGGTAGATACCGACAAGCACTTAGGACCTGAAATGGTGTAAACACACTATTATTACTACCCCCACTTGTACAATAGATCTTAATTAGTAATTGTGAAGTGTGCTAGAACAGGGATGCTACTGGGATGCGTAAACTAATGGGTGTGACACTTTGACGTTGGGTGCTATTATTAAACTACTGAGTGTAGAGTTTACAAAGATGCCCTGGTTCTGATCCCACATTTTATTTTTACTCCTCTGTTTTCAATTCTATATAAAGCATAGTGTCTGAAGAAGGGAATGTCAGGTGATAAGGCCCACGTTAATGATACAGCGGAGCCCATGCTCAGGCCTGACTTTAGGTTTTGAGCAGCTGTGGTGCATCTGCCTCTGGAGAGCAGTAAACTTTATTTTACACTTTCCTTTTCCTCAGTGTAAGAGAAAGGAGAAAATTATTACAGTTGAAATCCTAATTGAAAAAGTAATTGAGCTCTCCAACCTAAAAATTTCCTCTTTGGAGTCCAGAGTTGGGGCACACATCTTTAATCCCAGCACTCAGGAGGCAGTGCAAGCAAATCACTGTGAGGGTCTGCAAAACAAGTATAGGCCAGTTGGAGCTACCCAGTGAGACCCTGTCTCAAACAGATAAACAACAAAAGAAGAAATTGCATTTAGATTATATATTTCCAAGATAGCCTCAGAGCTAAAGCAATGACAGATTTTAGCTATGTGGAAGGAGCCACTGTGAACCACACAGGAAAGGTGAAGTGGTGGTGGTCTCAGTGCCAATAGAATCACAGCTTAAATTTTTTTTAATAATTTATTTAATTTTTTATTTTATGTGCATTGGTGTGAGGGTGTCCGATCCCCTGGAACTGGAGTTACAGACAGTTGTGAGCTGCTATGTGGGTGCTGGGAATTGAACTCTGGTCCTCCGGAAGGGCAGCCAGTGCTCTTAACCACGGAGTCATCTCTCCAGTCTCCCCCCACCCCCAAGCTTAGATTTTTATATAACTCATTGGAAACAGATTCTGAATTACAATACAGAATTGAAGGTTTTATTGTATACTAATGCAAGGAAACAACACTCTCATCCCTTCCTTGTGGGTGGCAATTCAGCTTATCTTTCAAATCAACACTATGTCCCAGAGAAGTTTGACTTATGACATCTATAAGACACAACCTTGTGTTGTTTTATTTTCCAAAAGGAGGAGGTTGTGCGTCAGAAGGTAGGAGAGGAATAATGCCACAAACTACTTATCCTTTTAAAGTACTTTGTGTTTAAAGTACAGTGTTTAAAGTATCCTTTAAAGTACTTTGTTTTCAAACCACTTCAGTGTTTTGAAAAGTGTACCAGAAACATTTAAAAAAATTTCAGGACTGACAGGAACCATGGATAGTAGTGATTCACTGTTCTGTCATTTGTTGAGCCACCCCAAACCTCAGTTTAAACATCTTGGAGGTCACAGGCTGGGCATACAGCTGAGTGGTAGAGTGTTTGCTTAACATGCCCAAGGCACTGGGTTCACTTAAAGGTAAAATGAACTGATACCATTGAAAATTGAAAGCTAACTATGCCTGGAGGTGTTCCGTGTCCTTTTGTGTCTCTCTGGAGAGCCAGAATCTGCTTTAGTCTTAGTTCTGCCCTCTGAATCTTGTTCTCATATGACATTCCTTGAGGTAGTTAGAGATGGATATCATGACCTCTTGAGTCTTGTCTTCTTAGGTAAACAGCTCCGGTCCTTTAATTGGATCTCTAGTGGCATTTACAATCCATCCTCTTCACTATTTTGGTATCAATGCACTCTTCCTTTCTTTATTTCTGACACATCTTTTGTTGTTGCTTAAACTGACCTGAAGCTCACGCTCCTTCTGTCTCTTCTCCAGAGTAGCTGGGATTACAACAGGAGTCCACACTGCTGCCTGATGATGTCCTCCTTTTCTCTGAGATGCTTTGAGCTGTAGAATTGGTTGTGATTCTAGGCTGGCTTGGCCTGAACAGAGGGGTAGGGACAGGTTGTCACTTCCCCTTCTTCTGTGAGCCTTTGGGCTAGTTCTGGCATTGATTAACACTGGGTTGGCTGTCAGCTAAGTGTCTATCTTAATTGCTTCAAGAAAAGCATATCCTTCAGATTCTCTGTTTGGTGACTCTGTAATAAAGCCTTTCCCCCCAGTATGCTGGGCCTGTTAAAAGTTGGCTTTGATTTACACCAGTCCTTAAAGCTTGTCAATTTTTATTTTACTTTACTGTTTTTTAAGGATGGGGATTTAGTTCATAGTTTGATGGTACAGTCATGGCAGGGGACATGGTGTATCAGAACTTGAGGAAGCAGCTGATCACATTGCATCTATGGTTAGGAAGTAGACAGATGCACCTGTTAACTTCTATCCTTTAAGTCTTGATTTTTTTTATACCCCCATCCCCACCCCACAACATTGTTTGGGCCCTTTTAGGCCAGTGTTCTGTACTGTGTTCTGCAAAAATTAAGATGTGGAACCTACAGTCTAGATTAGCTGCTTTTTAAATTTTCTCACCTGGGGATTTGGTAGGAGTACCTTCAGTGAGCCAGATAGTGGTAGTGCACATCTCTAATTGCAGCACTTGGGAGGCAGAGGCAGGTGGATCTCTGTGAGTTTGAGGCCAGCCTGGTCTACAGAGTGAGTTCCAGGACAGCCAGGGCTACACAGAGAAACCCTGCCTCAAAAACAAACAAAAAAGATGCCTTCGATGTTCTCTTCAGTTCATAAAGACTTTGAAAAGGAAGAGTGAGGGGGGCACACAAAGCGTGGTGATGCATGGCCAGAGAGGTGGTTTACTTTAGCCATGCAGTGTCTTAGGAGTGGATTTTCCCCAGAATATCTTTCTCTTCCCCTTGAGTGGGAATCAGTTGGTAATGGAGTTTTCCTTCTACATATAGTAGACACAAGTCCTTTAGTGAAGTTTCAACTGTTCTTTCAGCACTGATATTCTATTTTTTTTGCCCTCGGTACATTACTCTTGCCTTTAAGGCTTGTCATGAGATCCTTCCTTGTCAGATGTAGATAACAAATTGCACTGTATTTGAGCAGCACCCAGTTCTATCAGGAAGTCGTATGATAAGGTAGAAAGAAATAATAGGACTTTGAAGTTAGACTGAGTTATAGAATGGTCGTGGCAATAAACTGTCCCACCTATAAAATGGTATGCTCCCTTCGTATAAGTCTCTTAACATGAATTACTTGACAGACAGCCATCACATATGAAGTTCCTAACACAGTATCTTAAACACTGTTTGGTTCTGGGCTCAGACCAGGGCTGTACTGAGTTATCACCCCATCCCTGGTACATGTTTGTTTAATAAATGTTGAATGTTACATGCTGTTGAAAGAATACCATATTTCTTAATCTGTGTTGCTTTATTAATAACTTGGTCAGAAAAGGTTGAGACAGGAAGATTATGAGACAGCCTGGTTACAGAATGAGGCGCTTCCTCTCTCTCTCTCTCTCTAATGAGGTGCTTTCTCTTTCTCTCTCTCTCTCTCTCTCTCTCTCTCTCTCTCTCTCTCTCTCTCTCTCACACACACACACACACACACACACTTTCAGAGGTTAGGGTTATCCCAATATAAATCAAACATGTGCTACAGGGCTGTAATCCTGTAGCACAGGGAAGGGTGGTGATCAGAAATTCAAGGCCATCCTCAACTGCATTGAGAGACTGAGGCCAACCTGGACTATAGACTGTTTCTCAATGACAACATTAATTAAAAAGTTTTATGTGTGTGTGTGGGGGGGGGCATCGGCCTCATTCTGTACCCAGGCGGTCTTTGAACTCATAATCTTCCTGTCTCAACCTCTAGAATGGTGAGATGGAGATGTGTGCCACCACAAGCAGCTTTCAGCACACTGTGTTTGTGTTTCTATTTTGGGGGCAGGGTGTGCATGTTTGTACATGCTATAGAGGCCAGACATTAATTTTGGGTGTCTTCCTCTCTCTACCTTTTTAAAGGTGTGTGTGGTG